AAATGATCAGATCATTTATTAACCCCTCTAGCAAATATGCACTATATAAACTCCTTCCCATATTGAACCATTTACCAATTGCTTGCCCCCTTATATAACTGATTAGAAAGGAAAGAAAGCTTTAAACAAAGAGAGTCCTAGATGAAGAACAGCCGTTTAGAATCATCAACATCACTGAAGTATGAAGAATTAAAACTCTATACAGGGTGGATCACCGAAAATGACAACGCAGAAACACTCTGCATAATGCTTCCAGGCATCTTTGAACTCTTCCTCCGCCATTTATGATCTGATACATGTGCATGCATAAGCTAGCTCATATATATCGTAGGTTCGTCAACGTGTTATGTTCAATCTATCAACCAAATATATTTCTTTGGCGGGTAATGGAATTTGATTCGAACCAAAATCATTTGTTTTTGATCTTCAACTCATGTGTGGATATGATGTTTTAGGATTTTATTTAAATTAGTTTGAAATTTTAATCCTATAATTTTAATAAAATTTTCTGTTTTACGCTTTACCAAAAAATAGGGCGGGCTGTTGCAGAACAAATTTTGACTTATACCTATGGTTATAATTGCCACTAGTTTATAGCAGCGTTTATAACCGGCCAAGGAGATCAGGAAGTGCTAGACGTGAGCAAACGGACTTTGACGTAGTGGACTCTCCGGCCGCCGATCCAAGACACGATCTACACACGAGCGATTGAAATAGACGGGATGAGGGAGACCCTCACGCTGGATTTCAGAGATAAGAGAGAAGGAAATCGGTAAGGAAAAGCGAGCATCGAAGAATAATACATAGGATTAGGGATATACCAGCGGTTAAAATCGATGCAAATAGCATTGATGAAAACTAGTGCTAAAAATTGATTTTGTCAATGGTTTTCAAACAGCCTCTAATAAGTGCAGCAAAAAAATATATTTTTTAGTATTAACATTATTCTTATTAAATTTTGGTTAAAATAATTAAAAATGAGCTTTTAAATGAGAATTTGACTTTAACTGTCATATTTCCCGGTGCATGGTACAGGTTTCAGCAAGGAGCTGATACTGGAGGTACAGATCGACCACCGTGGCAACAAAGTAAGAACAAGCGGCCAACGAACCCTCGACGACCGGCGCACGCATTGGCGACGCTTCCAAACAGAACACTACATCCCCAATGGCTACGACATGAGAGGCATCCGAGCACGTTTCAGCGATGATACTCTCTACGTCACCTTTCCCAAGCTCGACACAGAGCAGCCAAAGCCGCCGTCCCCGACTCCAACGATGCCGGAGAAGAAGCAAGAGCTTGAAATGAAACCGAAGGAAGAGAAAGAGGAGGAGGTGGTGGTAGGGAGGCAAAGTCAGCTGGTGGTGAACATTATTGTGGCTGTGACAGTTCTTGTCATCATTGGGATGTACGTACGTGTCTTATAAGTTGGAGAAATATATATAGTTGTGATTAATTATTTTCAGCAAATTATATGTTGTTTAACTAGTTTAAGATTAGAAAAGAGGATCATGAGTGTGAGACTAATCAACTGCAAGATTCCTTATGCTTG